GCTGAGATTCAGCCCCAGAAATATCCGATTCCAAAGCCTGTTCTTAGCCACTGTAGGCTGATGCTTCTGGTGACACCAGCTTATCCAGGTCCTGCTGATGTAGGAATGAGCCGCCCAACTATGGATAGGAACCTCAGGGCATCCTTGCAGTCAGGTGCTGCTGTGCAGTGCTGGTAGCCAACAGGCTTCAGGTTTACACATTGCAGGCCGGGTGCTTCGGCTGCACCTGCGTTTGAACGTCACTGCTTCTTCTGACTCCAGACTCCTAGGGTGACGTGGTACCCCCTAGGGCTTGGATAGAAAGAGGAGTGAGTTCCAGGACCCAGATGAGGACTGCAGGGAGTTCTCGCCCATCCCTCTGGCAGGTCCAAGCAGTTTATCTCACTTGGCAGAGATCCTCTGTTTAAAAGCACGTCCGACGTTTTGTGCAATAAAGTTAATGGACTTCTCCATCTCAGAGCAGCTGAATTCTCTTGGAGCAGATGCTGAGGGTTATGGATGTTCTAATTAGGAAGCTGCCTTTGGCATTGAGGAAGGGAGGGGAGGCTTGAGATGCATTCTGTACGCCCTGCAAAGACCCCCTGCCAAACTGCTTTCCCTGAGCTTGCCAGGGCAGACATTGCAGCAGAGGAAGAAGGAGACATTTCCTTCCTCTCCTATCTTCTGCTTCTTTTCTAGCACTGACGGTCCTCCTGGTTTAGCCGGAAGTGACCAAGAGCACCGGGCAGGAGGGCCACAACCTCCCAAGCCTGAGCAACCACCAACAGGGTTTAGTGTTGTGATCAGATAAAACTTACAACTAAGTTAATCTGACACATTTATTGATGTGCATAATTGTTATTGGACTGCACTGCAATTAGGCATAAATGGTAGGTCGTTCCCATGAGTGACTGTAATTAGTAATTCTCGTTTTTGGCCCAATCAAGTTTGGGTGTTTTTTTTTTCCCCTATAAGCATAGACACTCCCAGTGTCTGGAAACAGCACTGACATTGACTGTTTTCTGATTCACTCCTTCATTTATTCATTCTCTCATTTACCAAATCTATGAAACTGAGGTCTCAAACTGGAGGCCACGTTCTGCTGCTTCCTGGGCAATTGCACATGGGTAATTCCTCTTTTCTCAGGCTCAGTTTCTGCAACTGCAATATGGGGATGGCATCCCCTAGATCATAGGATTATGGTGAGAATCTTGGAAGATGAGACACACAGGAGCCATGTACACTGCCGGCCATGCAGTTGTCACTCAGCTAGCTGCTGCCTATTTTATAATTGATGACAGACCTAGGAAAGAACAAGCTGAGCACTGGGAGCTCTGAGGCCTTCAGTCCTTAGATAGGAGAGTGACTGGGAATGCAGAGGGCCTCTCCCTTGGAGCTTGCAGGAGATGGAGGTTTGGGTCATGTGAGGGTGTAAAGCCAGTGGCATTGGAATGACCCCATCTTTACCCACAGATGAGCAGGACTGAGAAAATTCAGATTTTCCACTTTTTTAATCTTATCACTGGCCAAGCTCTGGGAAATGTGGAGCTAGGTCTGACCTCCTGGTAGAAGAAAGGAAAGTGCCTGTCCAGGGCACAATGCTTGGAAGTCTTTTATGAAATGCTTGTCTCAAGGGATATATTAGCAAAACTTTTTTTTTTCCTTAGTAAACCGAGGCTGAGTTGGGGGAAAGGAGGGTGCTTAGTGTATCCCCAAAAGTTCACATGTTGGGAGCTTGGTTTTCAACGGTGATACTGTGAGGTGGAAACTGACAGAGGGGTCCTAGAGGGAGGTCCTTTGTTAACTGGGAGCATGCCTTTGGAACAGGTGAAGGTAGTTTTCTTGAGAGGCCTGAGGCCAGCCTCCCCCGATTTTCTCTGCTTCCTGATTTAAGATGTGATCACTTGCTCCATGATCACTCCCTCCCATTCACCATGATGTGATGCAGCTGGGGGGCCCTTGCCAGAACTGAGCCAGTGCAGCCACAATGCCCCTGACCCTAATCTTCTGTGAACTAAGTGAACCTCTTTTCTTTATAAAGTTAGCCTGGCTCAGGTACTTTGTTATGGTAAAGAAAAGCTAACTAATACAAAAGGGAAGCTGATCTTCATAGCAAACTGAAAGTAAAGGCTTTGGGCCAGTAGTAATGGATAGAAACCTGCAACCACTTGGAGGAACATCCTGCGTCCTGCGGCTGTTGAGCTGGCTTGGGTTGGGGTGGTGTGTTCTTTGCCAATACACTCTACGCTGGAAGAAAATGTCTTGGGAGACAGCCCAGAGCAGGCTGGGATTGGGAGCTATCAGAGAGGCCAGAAAGGAGCATGGGAAGGGCTGGGCAGGGACCCTGAGGCCCCAAGCTGCAAGCAAGGCACAGAGGACCAGGAGGTAGTAGACATTACTGGATTCTTGAATGGAGGAGGCAGAGAGTTCCAGGTTGTTCTCTGTTCTGCACTTACTCACTGGCCCTTGAGTAAGTTATTTGGTTTTTCTGAACCTCAGTTTCTTGATCTGTAATGGGGTCACAGCTGATGCTGTCAGTGTCTTGTACAAGTCATCTGCCTTTACTGTGTCTGAGCAAGCACCCTGCTTCCTGAGCGCTGCCATGTGTGTTGCTCTGCCTGAGGCTTTGTCCTGGTCTAGGGCCCACCTTGCCACCAGGGCATGCCAGAAATATCTGGGCTGACTCCTGGGATCAGCTCTAAACAGACTGCTAAGGCTTAGTGTGTACCTATTCCAGCACCCTCACCCTCTGGTGGGAATGCACATTGCATGATCTCTGCTGGTTCCCAGAGTTCCATGTGGACTGGGGCTCAGTCACCCATGCAGCAGATGGCCTGGTGCTGAACCCTCACTGGCTGACTTCCAGCAGGCACCTCACATCCACACTCTCCTATTCTCATCTTGTATTTAAGGCCTTCAAGCAGGGCCCTGTTCTGGGGAGAGGGGACCCAACGAAGAGGGTAACACTGGACCTTTCATCTAGCAATGTGGAGCCCAATTTCATTTCCCTTATATCCTGCTGGGTACTAGCAACTCAGTCACCAAGGAGTTCCAGCTGCTGGGCAATTGGGGACAGAGGCCTGAGCCATGCTGGACCGACTCTCTTACCTTTGGAGATAAAGGACAGGGCACTCTGGGGCTGAGATGGGACCTTGGGGCTTGTGTGGAGGGAAGTTGGTGGTTCCAGGGTGGGGCCGATGCTTCGGAAGCCATCTCCATGGGGGCCTCCTCATCCTGGATTCTGTCTGGAGGCCGAGGCAGGCAATAAATCCCCTCCGTGGAGCTGGTCCCAGCATGGGCCACCCTGCAGAAAGGCTTCATCAGCGGCCTCATTTGCATAAGATAATGAAACTGCAGTAAAAATAGTAAAAGAAAAAATGGCCTGGCAACTTTGTTTCCATAATGACAGATGCTTCTTAAACAGCCAGCTTCTGTTTCCTGAGGAAGTGCCATGAAGGCCCCAGGGGAGGTGGAACCCCAGCCCAGCCTGGTTCTCACAATAGCAGTCTGCAGCCTGAGTACACAGCCCTGACCTCCTCCTGCTCCCTGGCTTGCTATTGGGCAGGCTATGGGGGACAGAAAGAAGGGAGGGAGGGGAGCCTGACTGAGGAGCAGAAAAGGGCCCTCACACATAGCAAGCCTGCTGATGACAGCGCTTCCCACTTAAAAGTGCTCTTTGCAGAATCTTTGCTTTTGTGCTCATGTGACTCCCTGCTCTAACGCAGCCCACATGAGCATCCCCACTGCATAGGTGAATAAACTAAGGCTTGTGCATTGTTCAAGGTCACCTGCTTAAGTCAAGGTGGTGGAGGGACCTTAAAACATGTCTTCCGGTCCTGGATACAACCAGAAATCGCTGTAGAGAGGACAGATCCTTGACCTAGAAGGTGGTGGGGACCTGTAGGGGTGGGACCCAATTCAGTGGTGCTCTGAATGAGCTGAGATGATCAAGGTCAAAAGAAAGGAGACTCCTCTGGGGTGAAACTCCCCAAACTGATAGGCCACAAAAGACCCCAACCAGAATCTGCTTCAGACCTGTCTTGTCCCAGCACCTCCAAGCCACCAGGGTTCTGCAGCAACTGCCTTGAATGCAGAAATAACAATAACCATGATGAATAAAGTTCTGGACAAGGAAGCTGTTCTCTAAGTTCAAAGGGAAATCTCCAGTCTAGCTGTACTGGGCCAGGGTGGGGGTGTTCCTTGCCACCTTCCCACCACCTTCCCCAGAAGTATTCTAGTCTGGATGGAGGTGACACAGAGTCCATCTTCCTGCTCCTTTTGGGGCTCTTTCTGCCATGCAAACATGAGGGTTTTCAGGCATACCCCTCCACTCTGTCTCCACCTTCCTGGGTGGTAAGAAGCAGTTATGACAGGGGTAGTGATGGCAGCAGCTTTTTGATCCAGACTTCTGCAGTCAAATGCTGTACACTGAGCTACACCCCTGTTGACCCACACTTCTGGAACTGGATTGCAACTCCAGGGTGTATCTTTCCCTCACGGCTCTCAGGCCAGGCTTCACCACTGGCCTTGCTCTGTCGTCCTCTCCACTGGTGTCATAAACCCTTCTATTCAATCTTCCCTGCTTAGAACATTCCAGCTTAAAAAAAAATCCCGGCTTGAACTCTGATTGACAGGTGCAATTTGCATCTACAGAAAGTAACCCACTCAGAGCTTCTTTATTTTCAGTTTTAAAAATATCTCAGGCAAGATCTCTGATGGGTTCAGCTTGCCTGAGAGGCCCATCGGACTTCACCAAAGGGACAGTTACCGAAGAAGAGGGCAACTCCCTAGGGAGTTTGAGGATGGAGATGAGTTGGGCAGGAATGTGCTCACGTGGGTAAGACAGAGGCCAGGCAGGGTCAAACACAGATACTACAGCCTCCGTATCTGAATCAGAATTAGCTGAGTACCCACCTGCTCAGCAGCCCTGGACACCGGCATCCCGGGGGAAGACAGAAAAGGTGTTAGGTGCTAGGGAGAGACGAGAAACAGCAGGCACACCCGAAGGGGATCTTGTTTTCTAGAAACATTTCTTTATTTAAAATTTAAAACCATATTACTTCATACAGCAAACTGTGCACTTTGATATATCACAGTGTCTTAAAAAGGAAAATAATCGGATTTGTTTGGAAATTTATTTACATCAGCCTAGAATGATTGGCAAGTAACACAGTTACTATGAAACCCAAATTGTTACAAAATGTTTACAAAAAACTATATTCATAGAAATTCTGCATGTCCACAAAGGGCATCCCCTGAATGGCCCCGAGACCAGTGTGTGGGAACCAAGTTGAATGGGAGTGGAAGGTGTCCAGGCACTCTGGTCTGGGTAGTGGGACAGGCCAGGGCTCTGGGAGGCCCATGGTGCTGTCTGAGGCTCAGCCCCAGGATTGGGAACTGAGGTCCTCGTCACAGAGGCCCAGCCAGAAAGTCTGCCCAGGCAGAGATGGGCTGGGGTTTCAGAACACAGTGGCATGAGGGCCCCCAGAACCTCTGGTCTCTGTGGAGCCAGGAAAGGACCCTACTTAGGGGCTGGATTCAGATGCACTTGGCCAGACCCCAGAGACTGACCGCTTAAGTGCTTGGGCTTGAAGCAGAGGGTAGGCTGTGATCTGTGCGGATGTGAAGTCCTGTCCAGATCTCTCCCTGCATGCTCCAGAGATGCTCGGACCCATGAAGGGGCGGAAGGACTGGGGTTACAGGGAACAGATGGATCCACGGGAGGCAGGACAGAGGTGTGCAGCCTGCTGGGGACTCACTGCCGGCTGCCCTGCTGGGGGAGACGTGATGGGGGAGAAGGGCAGCCAGACGGCATCAGGCTGTGCTCAGGTGGAGCTGCCTTCTTGCCTCTCATCTCTCTGGTTCCTTGGTTGCTCCCTGACAGCTGGTCCCAGGTCAAATGGAACTGGGGAGGGTGTCTGAACTGAGGCAAACTCTTGGCTAGACCTTTACCAAGTCTATGGCTGCTTCCTGCTGTTGGGGGGCCTCAGGGGTTTGATCTGTAAAATGGAGACAAACTAGGGTGCTTTGAGGCTCTCTGTCCTAGAAAGCAGGAGCAATGAGAGCAGGATGGGTAACCAGGGCATCAGGATGCATTCTGGCATTCTGGCAGTGCCCATGGATCTTTCTCTTCAAAAGCCGTTTCTTTTAGCTGTGAGCTGTGGGTGCCTCCACATGGGGGGACAATCTGAGGCCTTTGCTCCCATAGAGTGTTGCAGGTAGAGCCTGACACCTACCAGGTGACTAGTAGACAGGTATGAGAGCAGGCTGAGGGCATGGCCTCCTCTGCCCCAGCTCTTCCACTTCCCGTTAGCTGCTTCAGAACAAAAATGTGATGGTGGCACAGGGGCCAGGTACTAGCATGACACTGCTTCTTGGACATGCCCAGGGATCTTGCCAGATGGACTCCCAGATGGGACAAAGTCCCGTGGCCACTCCTTGCCTCCATGTCCTTTCCAGCTTTGCAGTATTGTCCTCTTCTTTAAGGTCTGGAGTGCTGCTGGATGCAGAGTCTGCCCAGTCCCCAAGGGCTATGCAACCTTTGTCCCAGATCTTGTTGCCATAGCTCCCATCTGTCACCTAGTCCCCACCCACGCTGGCTGGGATGTGTACACTCTGTGTGCAGACGTGCGGGGAAAGGTTGTATACACATGGGCTATGGGTCGTATATACACTGTGCATATATATATATACAGTATATATATATATATTTACATTCATATATATATTGTACAGAACATTAACTTTCTACCTAAAACAGTTTTATGACTTCATGTACCACCTCAACTCTGAAATATTTAACTCCAGAGCAAATCCAGCACTGAAATGAGAGCTTCCTTCAAACTGGTGTGGAGATAGGGTATGGTCCTCCCACTGCAGTGAGTAGCTGAGCCCATTCCAGATGTGTCCTGCTAACTTAGGACTTTCAGATGTGTCTAATTTAGAGACCATCCACAGAGCCAGCCCATTTCTTCTATCTGCCCATAGGGCTGGGCTGGTGTCAGATGTTAAATCCATACAGCTGTCTGTCCATTCCAGTAGGTCCTCCCTTTCCATATGAGTATCCTCTCTGGACCCTTCCAGATGTAGGCCACTGACTTTAGCCTATTTTTGGTTACTTGCATACACATCAGGGAATGGTTTGGAGAAGGATCCACTTCATGCTGAGTGACTAAACAGAGGCTGCACTCCCTACCTCCACCATTCCTTGGAAAGGAAGGCAGAAGGGGCTTCTAATAGTTCTTAGAGAATTGGGGCCTGGGTTTGACTTCTATTTTCCTGGACTTTAATGAGGGGGAGCAATATCTAGCTTGTCAGGGCCATTCATCCATCCTAAGCTGGTGCCAGCAGGAGCCAGCTGTGCTCTTCTGGCTGAGGCAGAGTCTGGCCTGAGAAGAGGCAACCCTCCCACCCCTCAGAGATTCAGAGTCTAGCTCGATGGCCAAGGGGGCACTTTCCCCCTTGCAGAATACATGCAGAGTGAGGTCCCCTGGATATAGACAGATCCTTTGCTTGGGCTTTCTTATCTGTCCACAGCAGAGAAGTCGCCATCAGGTCAAGGGAGAGACAGAAGAGGGACTCAATGTCCAAAAGTCCCAGAGCCTTGGTGAGGGGATGGGGTAGTTTCATCTTCATTGCTCCTCAGTTTGGCCAGGGTGGGATCATGTGGGAGGGGAGCACTCTTCTGTTCAGGCTGTCCTGAGGGACCACACAGGGACAATCAGGCACCTGTCAGGCACATTTCAACTTCTGCTCCATCCAAGCCAGCTTTGTGCTTCCTATTACTCCTTGGTGCCCCTGTGCTGTGCACGCACACACACACACACACATGTGCCCCCACGCCGGTGCAGCTGCAACCTACCGGCAGCAGGGCAGCCTCAGTTTAATGCTAAGGAACACCTCCCTTCCGTCCTCTACCCTCCGTTCCCATTTCACAGATGGGATGTCAGCTTCAGCACCCAGGGAGAGTCACAGTTCAGACACAGGCAGGGTGATCTCTGTTGTGCTCCACACCCTGGGCTGGTCTCTAGAACACAGGACATTGGCCAGAGGTTGAGCATTAGCCATACCTCCAGATATAAGGCTTGAATGGAATGGGAGATCAGATAGCACAGCATCCTACTTCCGTGCAGGAGTATAAAAACCATGCCGATACCTTTGGGGGAATTCCCCTAATGGGAGGGCCCCTCTGCTTGCCCTCTGTTCTTCATTCCTTTGACGAAAGTCTTCCACCCCAGCAACTTCCTTTTCTTCCTCCCATCACAATCTACATAGTGCATAGCCTCAGAAGAACACGACACGTTCATATAGTGTCATGTGCAAAAGCACATGTGTGTGTGACACGAGTGTGGGTATGGGTGTGTGCTATGAAATTGTACTAGACAAGTGAGACAATGGTTAGTGACTGTGGCTGGTGAGAGCAATTGGTAAAGACTTTGCTGAGAATCCCATTATTAGGAACGGTAAAAGAAAAAGTCTGCCCTTCAGACAGGACAATCCAGCTACAGCAAAGGAGTCAGCAGCCATGAGCCACAGAAGGATGAAGCCTGTGGCCATCTTCCCACTAGTATGCTTGCACAACCGCCACAAAGTGTGACACACAGCCCCTCCCATGGCAAGAGTGCAAACCCTGATGCCAAGACTTCCTGATTGATTGTCCGTCCTGCTCCTGCTGTGAGCTGAGACATATGTGTGTCTGGACACACATGGGCATGAGCACACTCACATACATGCTCCAACCTCCCATCTACAGGGCTCCTCACATTCAACAGGCATTGTATGTCCTCCCTCTGCTCTCTGCTGGACACACCAGTCTATAGAACTCACACACAGACCCTTTGATGACATGGCTTCTCCTTTTACACACATTTGGCTATGCTTCAGGGGTTTCCTGCCCTCAGTTCTCTGCTGTTTAGTGCACAGTACACACACACACACACACACACACACACACACACGCACGCACGTTCTCACCAGAACCCCATGACATGGCTTCTCCTGTTTTTACATAGATAGGGCTCTGTTGCTGGTCCAGATTTGTCTCCCTTGTCCCTAATTCACTCATGTATACACATTACACACACATACCAGGTCCCAAAGGACCCTCTGTTATTGCATGCCCTGGACTACATCATATAGTCAAATCTGTCCTTCACCCCTGGCTCCCAAATCTCATACCTCAGACACACATGTGTTCACAACCTGCTGAAGCTCATGCTAGCATGGCTTTTCCTGCCATTCCATATATCAGGCTCTACTGTACGTCTAGTCCTGTCTCCCTCCTCCAGTGTAGACAGCCATCAGAGCTGCTGTCATTTAGAGGCCAGTGGGTTGAGTCCTGCAGCTCACAGTTTGGAGGACCCCACCAAGTCGGTCTTCTGCTTTTCTAGAGAGGCTCCTTCCCCTCACTGCTGAGAAAACCCTTGAGATGGAAATGTGACTCTTCCTAGCTGAGCTGGGCCCCCTAGCAGAACTGGGAGCTAGGTGGGAGGGGTGGCTGGTGTCCCCTGGTTTTCTGTTCAGAATTTCCAGCTCTCCTTCCCCTGCAGAGCCTAATGGAGCCTGTGGGCCCCATTATGCTTCCTTTAAGGCCACTTTTTGCCTAACCCTACATTTGTTATTCTTTTAAAAAGAATCTTAAAGTCCCAGATTCTAGGACATTCACAGCAAGCTGGAACCCACAGATCATCTGGTCCATACCCTTGCTGGTACTCCACTGGCTGCTACTCCTTCCTTGGCTGTCCTCCCCAAAGCTGCAACTGCTCCGGATGAGAGACGAAAGATGACCTTATTCTCTGTGTTGGGTCTTTGGTTAATTCTCCAGGAGGCAGCTTCCCTCTCCCCCTGGGCCCTTGTAGCTATGATATCCTACTACTAAAAACATTCTTTTTTCTAGTGAACATCCTTAAGTTTGGCAGGTCCAGGAGGCCGGGAGTTCCTTGGATCCCTCTGGCTCTTCCCACCTACCCCAAAGAGCATGCGCAGTAGGACACTGGCTCTTTCCAGGAAGGGTGACTTGATTTTCACCTCAGTTGAGGCTACTCTTCTCTTTCCAGGATGACAGAGGGAGGCCAAGTTCAACTGGCCAGGAATAGGAAGTTGCCAGTGAATAGATGGCAAAGAGCCCAGGTTCCCAAATGCCAACAGGGCTTAGTAAACAGCTTGCTAACCAGCAAAGTGAGGCCCATTGGGTCAAAGGCCTGTGGGATTTTCACGGAATCCATTGTTCATCTCCTGGGCTTTAAGCATCAGCTGAATCATTGGGCATCCTTTGTGAGAGATTTAAGGGTCCTCTCTCCTCTGGTCAGAAGTGGAGAAGTATTTGCTGTGACCACTATGCCATGTGTATTCCTGGAGGCCTTCTCAAGAAGTGGGAACCACTGAGAGGTGTCCACAAGAATCCAAGATGGTGGCTTTTATCTGTGCATTCTCTTCTCCCTCATCCCCAAACTTCTCCTTCCCACTCTACCTTTCGTTTTGCCAAGGAGCTGCCATTGGTGAAACCAAGCCCAGAAGAATAGGATTATGTAAACAGCCCCTGAAGGCTGGAGTCTTCCTTTTGCCCAGGCATATGGGATGGCCATCTCTTGGCTCCCACTGTAACATCTGTAAGGTGCCAAGGTTTGTGTCACTGGACTCGTGGTCAAGCCCTAGGGGGCCTGGGCTCTTGAGGGAGAAGTAGCAGTCTAAAAGCTGTCTTCCATGTTCTGTAGCCTCTGCTGGGCCATGGCAGGAACTCCTGACTGTAGAAGAGAGTACAGGGACTAGGATGGGTAAGTTCGGCCTGAGAGAGGGATGTGCTTCCTTTGGCCTTGGCTATCTTGGCTGGCAGCTTTAGAAACCCATAGAAGAGACAGAGGGAGAATGTAGCCCAAGAAGGGGCCTGAGGGCCTGCTGGTTTCCCGGTAGATGAAGGCAGAGTTTCTGGCCCAGCATGCAGGCAGCTGCTCTGGTCCCCAAGCTCGATGTGAGGGTTGGGCTGTTCCTTCCAGTCTCCTTTGCTTCCCTCAGCCTTGCCCCAGGCCTGTGGTCCCACCCAGCCTGTGCCTAGGGGAACACGGGGGCTAATGATGTGCTGCAGGTCATGCTGTCTTTGCCTGGAAGCCGGCGATCATTGAATGTGTGCATGTTGATGACAGCGTCGGTCTTGACCATCATAGGAGCCTGTGGTTTGTGCTTGACCCGACGCTGGCAAGTGAGGGAGAAACGGATCTCATCGGCTACGGTGCTGCAGAAAGAACGCTGGGGAAGGAACAGGAGTTCGTGAGTGAGGCCAGGTTCCACAGCTCTAGGCAACTCCTCCCTCTCCTCCCAGAGGCTGTGCTAAGGTGACCCCACCTTTCTCACACCTTTGCCCCTCCAGCCTTCTGCCTTCTGCAAGATGATTCATTTGTAGAGCGGTCTATGAAGCCTTACATTCTTGGAGACTAAGGTAGGTAGAACAGGTATCATTTCACAGATGAGAACACTGAGGCTCTGATGAGGATGCACATTAAAATCTGATTTTTTCCCCTTAAACCCTAATGGCAGGAACTAGGTAGCCAGTTTCACTCCCATGAGCCCAGTCCCAGCATTAGGTGTACACAAAGGTGGATGATCCTTCTTCTGGCAGGGCTTCCGGTCAAAGGGAGAATCACTGCTCTCCCACTCAGGAAAGTCCAGTGTTGTTTGCCATGGTAGACAACTGACAGGCAGGTCCCTGGAGGGCTGTTTGGTGGCAGTGTCCTCCTCCTGACTAGGTCCTTGCAGACAGCCAAAGAAGGGACAGTGAAAGTGCAGTATTGCCACATGTATTTGATGGCAGTGGCTTCTATGAGCTCATCCACCAGTGGTTGTCCTGAGGCAGTGGAGGTTGCTCATGCCTCAGTTTACCCAGTGAAGCCAGGGCATTAGCACCAAGACCAGCTGTATATAGGCTGTGGGATGCAGAGGAATAGAGACTTCTCATTGAAATCTGGCTCTGTCTCCTACCAGTTATGACCTCTCTAGATCTCCCCTTCCTTAGCTACTAATCACAGAATACTACCCCTCTTTGACCTGCCTTTCTTCATGCTGCAAATATTTACTAAGACTCTATTATGTGCCAGGCGCTGCTCTAGATGTTAGGCACATAGCAGCAGAGAACACAGACAAAGTCCCAGCTGTCAGAGAGTTTGTGGTCTGACCATGGGATGGAAATGGATGAAAACATAAATCAAATAAGCAATTTTGATAGTGATGACTGTTAAGAGAACAGAGCAATAAAATAGGATACAGGCGGTAGGAATGGGGACAGGTAGGGAAGGTTACTTGAGGAGGTGACATAGGAACTGAAACTTCAGTGAGCAGATGGTGCCAAGAGTATGGTACTGTGAGGGCAGAGCAGTCCACGTGGGAGGAAGGTCCAGGAGGAGTGAAGGCCCAAAGGCAGAAACATGCTTGGTTCTTAGGGAGTAAAAGGGAGGCCAGAGTGTATGGCATAGTAAGGGCAGGAGGGATTGGAAAGGGGTCTGAGGGAACAGGCCAGGACTGGGTCCCCTAAGGTTTTTGATGGAGTCTGCAGCTTTGTCCAGTCTTAACAAGAATTCCTAAATAGCGTGGCTGTTCTTTTTTGATATATCCTATTTTTTAACCATTCCATATCGTTGCTATTTCTCCATTTTTTCCTATTATAATCAATACCTCAACAAACATCTGTCAGTAAAACCACGCTTATTCTTGATCACTTCCATTGGGTGCATTTCTAAAAATAGAAATTGGTCAAAATGTGTGGTCATTGTTAAAGACTGAACATCTCACCGGGAGTGGTGGCTGAAGCAGAAGGATACTGCGAGTTCGAGGCCAGGGTCAGCCTGGGCTAAACAATGAGTTCAGGGTCAGTCTGAACTACACAGTGAGACCCTGTCTCAAAAACCGAAAATCTAAAAAAGAGAGAGAGAGAGAGAGAGAGAGAGAGAGAGAGAGAGAGCCAGCTGAGGATATAGCTCAGTGGCACAATGCCTGCCTGGCAAGCACAAGGTTGTGAGTTCAATTCCCGGTACCAACACAAAACAGAACAAAACAAAAAAACCCACAACAATCTCCTGAAAATGAATGAATGAATGAATAAATAAATAAATAGTGAACATCCTATGGAGTTTCCCTACAGAAATGTACCTGTTTAGAGTTTAGCAGTTCTGGAAGTGTCTCTTTCCCCACATTCAGGCTAACTTGAACAGCTGGTATTGTCCTTCCCCTCCTCTTTGTTGACCTGGGTTGCTGATTATCTATGGGTCCATTTCCCTTTTTGATGGATGTATAAGTTCTCTGTGATAATGGCTCCATGGGTGATCCCCTGGACCTAGATCTCCTTGAACTTCTCCATGAGAGCTGATTTCCCAGCCCAGAGGCCTCAACCCAGAGTGTTTAAGTCACCCTACAGCTTTCTGAAAACACTGTGCTGGGCCTTGACACGAGCCAATTAAAATGGAGTCTCTGGGAGCAAGGCCAGGGCATTAGCACTTTAAAACTCTCTCCTAGTGGTTCCAGTTTGCTCCAGGGACCCAGAACCACTGCCCAACCAGGCTTGAATTAATCAGACTAGTGGAGCCCAGTTCCACTGTCTGCACACTTGGGCCAGCCCTTGTAACTCTTCCTTTTAAAACTTTTGGTTATGGAAATTTCCAAGTATATGTAAAAGTAGAGAGAGCAGTATAATGAACGCTTTGCCACCGTCTCCCAGCTTCAACAATTACCCTGGAGGGTTTTATGCAGCAAACTGATAATGGTTTGAATTAAGTTTTAAACAGAGCACATGCTGCCATGCAACTAGGAGACGGCAGCAGGAAAGCACGGAGGTGGGGAGGCACTGTCCAGGACAGTGGTGATGGCGCCTTGCCCTGCGTTGGAGTAAAAGTAGGGGAAACTGGGCTGGGTCAGGACGAAGTAGAGCGTCAGGATATCCTGGTACACTGGATGCAAGATGGGCTGCCGTAGGGGTGGGTGAGACCATGGCGTGCCCAGCACTAGCAGGGGAACAACACAAATCCTCCTCTCCCTCTCAGTGCCTCACAGGTCAGCTAGGGGCTCACCTGCTCTCGCTCTGCCGTTTTGCGGAGCTTGTACACAAACTCGCCTACGGCCACCAGCACAGACAGGACCAGGCCAGCGGCCAGGACGATGAAGATGCCACCAATCTTCTGGATGCCCAGGGCGCTGGCCTCCTTGTTTTCCTCCTCGGGACACCCGCTGCCCCGCCACCACTTCTCCTTCATGATGTGCAGCTTGTCCTCCTCCTGCAGCTGCAGGATGGCGATGGTGATCTTGTCCCGGTATGGGGAGCCTGGCAAGGGAAGAGAGGACCCCGGCTGTCAGTGGTACCTGCTTGGCTTATTGTTTGTTTGACCCTGTCAACACTCTAGTTGGAACCAGCCGCCATCACTAGCTCCCTCAATGAGCTCTTTACAAGAGGGACCCTATTACTGAGGTCCCTCTTTAAATCTACATAAGGCAACTGGGTGGATGATGTAGCCCACTAATACCCGTTGTCATGGGTCCCCGGATGGCGTCTCTGCTGCATTGGTGGAGGGATGAGGGAAGTTAGAGATGAGCTCTGGGAACTGATGCCCCCATGCTGTGTTTGTCCCACTTCCCACAGCTCGGGCCAGGGCCGACCTCCGCAGGTATGTGGCTCTGTCCCTCTGCTCCTGGGCTGGGGCAATGCCACCTTCCTGGGGTCAGTGCAAGGAGCATGTTTGTAAGCAGATGTGGGAGCTTTGCCCTTCCCTGTCCCCGCACCGAGGCTCACCCATGGGCGTGCCGATGCCGTAGCCCTTGGAGTCGATGAGGCCCCCGATCTGGGTGAGGTTGCAGTTCCTCTGGGTGATGTACTCGATGGTGGTGGACTCCATGAGCAGCGCGTAATCGGCCGTCAGGGTCCGCTGGATACCTTCCTCATTGTTCTTCACCAGCGCCGAGGGCTTGCTGCTCATGAAGGCCCACATCTTCTCGAAGGTGGAGATCTTGGATTTCTGGGCCAAGAGAGGGAGTGAAGCATGCATGGTGATTGAGCCCACCAGGATCGAGCTTTGCACACTGCTCAACAGGGCTTGGCTCACTGAATGAACTCAGGCTACATGCCTCAGAGTAAGGGAGTGCTGCCCATTGCACAGATGTGCAAACTGAGAACTGCAAGGAGAGGCCCCCAAACAGAGCTGGGGAGTGATAACGCTGAGACTGAGACTAAGACACAGGCCCACTTTCTGGAAACTCTAGCTGTTCACCATGACACAAATGGTCTTCAGATTGGCTCTTTTTTTCTTGGTGCTGGGATTGAACCCAGGGTCTTTGCACTGGGTTAAATCCCTAGCCCCTTATTTTAGTTTTTAAAATTTTGAGGCAGGGTCTCACTAAGTTGCTAAGTTGCTGAGGCTGGGTTCAAACTTGTAATCTTCCTGCCTCAGCCTCCCATAATGCCAGATCTAGCTCAGACGGGCTTTTTAGAAATTAATTTTTTCTCCAACATGTATTAAACAATTAGCATATCCAGACCTTCCTTTTAGTGCCTTACCTGCTAGACTTTAGTCACCGGTTCTTCACAAAGACCACAGGAGGTAGGTGCCTTCATTAGTTCCATTTTACAAGGGAAAACTGGGGTTCAGCTAAGTAACTAGCCTACGAACACCCACATACTAAATGGCAGAGCGAGGCTTCAAAGCCAGGGCTTCTGGCGCCAGAGTCCATGCTCTAACGGTTGGGCAGCACTGCCTGGCAGGAACCACTGTGAGGGTGTGTGGTTGGGAGATGGATGCTGATGAGGGCAAATCCCAGTGGGCCTGGTCCCCCACCTCTCCTCAGCCAGTGCAGATCCCTTCTGTACTGTTTCAGGGGAAGACTGTGTGAAGCTTAGATTCTGGTCTGTTCTCCTGTAGCCCAGTGAGGGAGGTAGGTGAACACTCAGAGCAGGTGTCTGTAAACCTTGGTAGCTGTCTCAGAGCCTGGGGCACAGGCCCCTGGCTGGACATGTTTCATGAGCAGAACCAGCATCTTTAAGGCCAGGCAGGACTGAGGAGACTCAGAGGGGTCCCTGGGGAAGGAGGAGGGCTGGGGTTGAGAGTTCTTGCTTCCTGGGGAGCCTGTGCAGAGTAGGATGCATGGCATTTGTGAGATTTCTTGGGAACTTAGTGCTGCTAGCTGCCTGCTCCCATCAAGGATTGCCCTGTCTCAGTTGGTCCCAGGGGTGCAGGTGGCTCTGCAGGCCCAGTTGTATCAGTGGTTTTCAAATCTGGCTGCGGCTTTCTGTGATGTCAGCCTGTCTGACTGGCACCCAGCCCAGCTCTGGTGTGCGTGACAGCATGGGTGTGCTGCCACAGACTGGCACGGGCCGGGGGCATGGGCAGGAGCTGGGGAAGAAGCTGTGCCTGCCAGGAGGGGTTAGGGAGCCTGGGAGGAAAATGGACTTTCTATCTCTAGCCACCTGACAAGGGACCAGCTTTGGAAACTGGTCCTGCAGACCCCAGCATGTCTCAGAGGCAGTGAGAACAGGATGGGCCCTCAAAGCAGCACACAGAACGCTCCAGAGTTCCATCTGTGATGGGGTTAGCTGGGTGCCAGCACTGCCTCCTTTGGGTATAGGACATGGAGCACCTTCACAGACAGGTAGCTATACTCCTGCCTGTAGTTCTACTTGCCCCAAAGCCAAAGTCACCAAGAGCTCGGGGGCTCAGAGCCCACTTTGGGCTGCTACCAGCCCCTACTGGTCCTCAGCCTCTCCTTGCAGCTACGCCAGCTCCATGGTAACTTTCTCTGCATCTCTGCCTCCCAGGCTTCAGCATCCTGTAGCTCTCTTCCTTTCAGCTACTTTTCCACTTTAGCTCTTTCCAAAATTCCCCACCAGCTCCTCTTCCCTTAAAGATTTTCAGCAATGCCTGTGCCCCTGATATTTCTATTTCCTGGATTATTTCTGATATGCAGATTCTCCTGCTGGCAGCTTCCTTGTTCCCCACAACCCCTTTTCTCTGCCTGCTTCATCTCCAGGTTCTAAATTGTTCTCAATGATCCCTATTTGCTGGTACTCAGACGTTGTGAAATCCCTGCCACTTGACTGCCAGCTGGACCTACTGACTTGCTTTTAACAACCCTGAAGTAATTACATGTGTCCCAGATAAGACGCAAGAGACTGACTTCCCCTTGCTTAGACTCTTTCTGGCTCTTCTCCTCTGGCAGAAATGCCACCATGTCATGAGTTGCTTTTGGGGAATTTCATGGCAACAGAGGGCAGCCTCTGGCCAATAGTCAGTGAGGAGCTGAAGCCCTCAGTCGGGCCACTAGGAGGAACTGGGGCCTGCCCACAACCCTGTGAGCTTAGAAGCTGTGCCTTGAAATGACTGCAGCATTAGCCAACACCTTGACCACAGCCTTAGAAGAAGCCCTCAGCCCAAGGATTCAGTTAGCTATGCTGGATCCCTGACCCACACACTGGGAGATGACAGATAAGACACTAAGTATGGGTAATTTGTTACACAGCAGTAGATAACTAATGTACTCTCACCTATGTACTAACATGAGCTACTTCTGCTCCCAATTTAGTTGCTTTATCAGATAATCATTAATTTCAACTATTCCTATAATCAACTTATCCAATCCAACCATCCCTGCTTTGCCAGATACACATGCTCATGGATTCTCTAGTATTTTGATTATCATGACCTAAATAGTGCTATCCCTTCTGTAACTCTAGCTCCTTGGCTCCTTGACATTCCTGGCTCTTCTGCTTCCCAAATGTTACCAGACGTGGGAACCACAGACACAAGAGGCAATCAGTGCTCTCCTTATACTTCCTAATGTATCCACGCATTAATCCATCTACTCATCCATCATCCACTCATTCAAGCATCCATCCATCCCTCTCTCCCAATCCTCATTTATCTGGTCATACTCCCCCCCAACTATATATTAATTTATTCAACTAACTGACTATTCACCTCGCTTGTTACATATTCATCCACCCCTTCTTTCTTCTATCCAATCATCTGTTTGTCCACCCTTCCTCATCTACCTATCAGCCCCATCCATCCCTTCATCTTTCTCACCCATCTTACTCACTTTCCCATACAACTCGTCATCTGTAGTTCTTGAGTCTGGACAAAGGTAGCCAAGGAACCATTCAGGAATCCCACCTCACTTCTCCTGACTCAGAATGGGATTGGAACATCTCTTTCTCCAAATTTCTTGTGCTGCATCCCCTCCTATTCTTCCTCTACACAAGCCTGCCTGACACCAAAACGGAAGCTTTTCCCAGAATTCAGCACCCAAAATGGAGACAGGAGTTTTGGTTGGAGGCTGGAGGGGGTGTTGGGCAGATGGACTTTGAGGACAGATATATGAAAGCCACCAGTGGGTAAGGGAAATGAATGAGGAAGGTGGGAAAGGACACCAGAGATTGTAGGCTGCTCAAGATGGGAGGAGACACCAAGGCAGGAACTGACTATGACACAGATTTCAAGTGGTTCCACCCTCCCACTCCAGTGCCTAAAACCCACAGGCTCCATCACATCTAGGCAGATGGGTCTGAAATCTGCTTCCTGGAATGGCCACCCACTGTCCTGGTTCTATATCTTGAGCCTCCATTCTCAATACATCTGCTCATGGTCTCTGTTTTCCCTTAAATTCTGTCCTCTTGTCCTTGAACAGTTTTGAGATTCTGGGGCCCAACTGGGAAGAGTCCTCCTTTGGCACGTCTGAAGCAGGAAGAAACAGAGCCAGGGCCTCTCCTGGAATCTCAGCTCTTCTTCCTCTCCATGGGCCTGGTCACCAGAGGCCCGAGTTCCTGTTAGTGGCCTGAGCTTTAGCCACCTTGCCCTAGAGAGGGAGTCCCACATACTATGGCTTCTGCATCATCCTGCCTGTCCCTGCTCTGGAGGGACCTTAATAAGGATTACTTCAGGGCCACTCACCCAAATCAATTAATGGAATCATTTGGAGCAGCCAATACAGGGCGATCTGCCAGGACAGAGATGCTTTTTTTATCAGAAAAATTGGCAAGAAAGTAAGTTTCAAGCTCACGACTTTCATTTCCAGCCTCCTCAAAGAAGTAAATTGATTTTCTCCAACTGAAGATACTTAATCTTGAGAATTTAACATTTCTGTACAAGAGAATGTATATAAGTGTATATATA